TCTCTATCTTCATATACCCTAAAAACATCGTAACCGACTACAGGTTCCCCTCTATCTGCTGGCTTAAGCCTCAATACTGACTTGGTAGAGGTAAGAACTTAAAAGTCTTCTCTTATAAAACCTATGCATAATTTTCAAAGAAATTACTTGGTTATTACAAAAAGCAAATATTCTGTGCATGTGGGAGGGAAAAAAAAAAAAGCATACATGTTCAGTATGGGCCATTCCAACTCCATCTTCAACTATTTGTTCTCCTCCTTCTATATGCTGAACAATTCCAACTAATTTTCTGGAATAATCTGAGATTTCTTCTGTGAAAGTTCTTATACAGTGGGCCATGTCTAAAATGGATGCACGAATCTGGTTTGCTTCTGGTTCCAAGACGGAATGCTATTAATCAAAAGCGACATATCAAAGATCAATCATAAGTATCTTCCTTAATAATCTTTTCTATTTTACTACATATTAAAGATATGTGTGTGTGTATATACATATATATAGGAAAGGCAAGTAAGAATTTAAAACCATCCTGCAATTTAAAATGCAATCAGGAGTTACGGATTATGCTGAGACTAAGACAGGCATCTAGCAACTACACAAGTAAACATACAAATTTGCCTGTTTACCATAACCAATTATAAAAAACAAAGGGTGGTTAGACTGCACCAGGTTGGGTGAAACTAGTGTTTGCATGATGAAAACAACTTTCAGAACTGGTGGCTCAATGCCGTGAGAAGTTCAGAAAAGCATCAGATAAAGTGACTGTCAATCTTAACAAACAAATAAATTATTGTGGTCTTAGAAATAATGTTTCTTCTCTTGTAATTTTACCATGGCAGTTATCTGAAATGAAGGGAAAATGAAGGAACAGTATGAAGTTACTTCTGTGAAACACGGAAGTCCAGCGCAGGGCCACAAAGATGATTAAGGGAGTGGAGCATCTCCCTTATGAGGAAAGGCTGAGGGAGCTGGGTCTCTTTAGGTCAGAGAAGAGGACACTGAGGGGTGACCTCATTAATGTTTATAAATATGGAAAGGGTGACTGTCGTGAGGATGGAGCCAGGCTCTTATCACTGACATCCAATGATAGGACAAGGGGAAATGGATATAAGCTGGAACATAGGAGGTTCCGCTTAAACATGAGGAAGAACTTCTTCCCAGTAAGGGTAACAGAACACTGGAACAGGCTGCCCAGAGAGGTTGTGGAGTCTCCTTCTCTGGAGATGTTCAAAACCTGCCTGGACGCATTCTTGTGTGATTTGATCTAGGTGGTCCTGCTCTGGCAGGGGGATTGGACTAGATGATCCTTTGAGGTCCCTTCCAATCCCTAACATTCTGTGATTCTCTAACATATAAAGAATCTACCCTCCTTTCTTGATAATCTTTTGTACTTTAATTGGATAATTATGCAAGCTACCCCATGACACAACTAGAAACAGATTATTAGCAGTACCTTATGACCTTGATGCTTCCCGTATTCTTTGCAGACACAACACATAAGAGGACTCGCCTGACAGCCCTCTTCTAAACAAACAAACTCAATAGCGTGCACTTGGTGTTGGGAGCACATGGTCTTCTCATGAGGTTTATCAGCAAGAGGTACACGCCTGTGTTTCGCCAGCGTCTTTGTAGAATGAGTAAGCTGGGAACAGTCTGCACACAGGTGAGTGGCACAAACAGTGCAATAGACAGATGCAATGTGGGCTTCATCTTCATCGCAACGAATGATGCTCTAACAACAGGAAAAAAAAAGACAAAACTGAAGTTTTGGGATTAAAACTGAAGTTTTTACTGGGATTAAGTGTTAATCCAATAACTAAGAAAAATCGGAAGACCTGACACCAATATAAGTCTGAAAACAGACTTTCCTTAACAGTTACACAGTAATAAATATTTGGAATACTTTGAAAACTTGATTTTAAGGTCTCAATAAATTTTAAAAAATAAAAGTCCATTTCCTTTAAAGTGAACTCCAAAAAATCATTCTAGAGGTGTTCAGTGATTCCACAAGTTCAAGCTTCAGAGGAAGTTGTAAAGGTTTGAAAGTTAAAATAATTCAGGCTCCAGTAACTTCCTCCAAAGCAGTCATTACAGAAAAAAGAATTATGAAGTTACAGACAAAACAGGACTGGACAAATAGGCACTTAGGACAGTTGTCTATTCCTACAACGGCACTGCATGATACTCCTAGCATACCAGTTGTTAATACTGAAATGATTAAAGCATCTAGTTTTGATAAAGTACTATCATATGATGTAGTGATATCAAATTGCTATAAAAGGTAACTACTCAAGAAGAAGAGTCGAAGTCTTTAGGAAGTGCTTCTAAGAAGTTTTAGAAAACTGTCCTTAAATCACTATAACTAAAATATCCAAATGAGTAACCTTTTCTAGAAACCTTAAAAGCCTAAAAAGGGGGAAAAGAGTATGCATGCTTGGCAATATCTTTTTACTTTCTGCTTTAGTAAGTACATCTTAGCATTTAATTATGAAGCATTTAATTAACTGAAGACAATTACTAGATACTGAAAGAAAACGAGGGCATTATTAGTGAAATTACCTTTGGCAAAGAATGGACTTTCATTTTTTTTCTATCTATACATAACTTTAAGCAAATATAACACGGTTTTGTTTTTTCAAAACTCAGTACCTCTCCAGATAGACCAATGGCTTCTTCTGCCGTCCCACACTGCCCAGCAGGTCCATTCTGCAGCCGTTCCAAGAGTTCCAACAAAGCAAAATTCTTTTTCAAGCCCCAGACACCAGAATCTCCTGGTTTTGAGAAGAGTTAAATGAAAAGAAGAGGAAGAAAAACCTCAAGCAAATACCACTATAAGAAGTTCCACAAACCACAGTTGAGATTCTGACAAATATTAAGAGCACATTAACTACAGTGATATTAACTAGAGTGAGATACAATTACCACTTTTTCTACGTAAGCTCACGCTACCTTTCCATCTTCTTTCCTTCCATCACGGAGCTATTTAATATTTATGCTGATTTTCCCCACTTAAAAGATGACAAGATGATTAAAAAACTACAAAAACTCAGTAAAAACACTTTTAAAATAATCTGCAATAGCTAACATCTAGAGACTACAAGGAACACACAAACTCTAATGTGTATCACAAAAATTAATAGTTTGCATAACTGCATACAGTAAACATTTCTACTGTACTAACAGGAGCTGTGAAGAATTCACATTGACAAGCTGCATATTCCCTGAATCACAAGATGCAACACCTATTGCAGATCTCAATCCAGTAAAAACCTGAATAAGAGTTAAAACAACATTCAGAAAGAAAGACCCACATACATCACTATTTGATATTGCAAAAAAGAAGACATCTCATAGTCCCTAGAGCAAAGCAGAAGTCCGTGTCTACTACTGTACCTCCTGTAGAGGTTAACATGAAGCAACTTGATAAGAAGCAAAACCAGAATTGCATCCCAATGACTGCTGCTAAATGCCACCTGCCCAGGACATGCAGCTTATGATATCCCTAGTGATTGCTTCTCCAAGAAAGTATCATCCCTTGACTTTTTCAGCATCATTGTCATAAATTTAAAGACATTTTTTCTGTTGCAAGGTAAAGGTGCCTCAAGAGATGAAGCATCATCTTTGAGCACTGGATGATTACTTTTTAGTCGCTACAGAATCACAGAACGGTTGAGTTTGGAAGGAATCTCTGGACATCGCCTTGCTCAGTCTCCCTGCTCAAGCAGGATCACCTAGAGCTGGTTGCCCAAGACCACTCCCAGGCAGCTTTTGAAGGTCTCCAAGGAGGCAGATTCCACTACCTCTCTGGGAAACCTATGCCAGAGATTGGTTATCCTCACAGTGAAATTTTGTTTCCTCATGTGCAGACAGAACTTTTTGTGTTTCAGTTTGTGCACTTTGCCTCTAGTTCTGTCACTAGACATACTGAAAAAAGCCTGACTCTGTCTTCTCTACTCTCTCTCTTCAAATATTCGTAAATGATCTCTCCACCTTTCCTCATATGAGAGATGCTTCAGTCCCTTCATTATCTTACTGGCCTTTTGCTCCAGTAGCTCCACAACTCTCTTGTACTGGGGAGCCCAAAACTGGACACAGTACTCGAGGTGTGGTCTCATCAGTGCTGAGGGTAGGGGAAGGATCACCACCCTGGACATGCTAGCAACAGTCTTCCTAATGTAGACGACGATACTATCAGCCTCCTTTGCCACATTATCACACCAGGTAAATCAAGATCCTCAGGTCCTTTTCTGCAAAGCCACCCTCCAGCTGGTAGGCCCATTCTCTTCTCAAGTGAGAGAATAAGAATCATAGACTATCTCAAGTTGGAAGGGACCTATAAGAATCATTGAGTCCAACTCCCTGCTCCTTGCAGGACTACCTAAAACTAAAACATGACTAAGATCGTTGTCCGGACATTCCTTGAACTCTGACAAGCTTGGTTCTGAGATCACTTCCCTGGGGTCCCTGTTCCAGTGACTGGCCACCCTCTCAATGAAGAAACTTTTCCTAACATCCAACCTGAACTTTTCCTGATGCAGCTTCCTTCCATCTCCTCGTGTTCTATCCATGGTCACCAGAGAGAGATCAGCACCTCTCCCTCCGCTGCCTCCTTTGACGTCGTAGACTGCTGTGAGGTCACCCCTCAGCCTTCTTTTCTCCAAGGTGAATAAACCAAGTGACCTCAGCCCCTTCTCCTAGGTCTTGCCTTCAAGACCTTTCACCATCTTGGTTGCCCTCCTCCGGACACACTCTTAACAGTTTCGTGTCTGCCTTATACTGAGAAGCCCAAAACTTTACACAGTACTCAAGATGGGGCCACATCAGTGCAGTGCAGAGTGGGAGAATCACCCCCCTTGACTGGCTGTCTATGCTGCCCTTGAGGCACCCCAAGACACAGTTCACCCCTTTGGCTGCCAGGGCACACTGTTGACTCATACTCAACTTGCCATCAACCCAGACCCACAGATCTCTTTCCACAGGGCAGCTCTCCAGCCTCTTCTCCCCCAATTTGTACATATAACCAGGATTACACGTCTCCACTTTGTCTACATCCCTATTTGTGAGGTGACCAACTACATCAAGCAACAGACCAATGTTGTCTCCGATCCTCCTTTTTCTATTAACATATTTTAAAAAGCCCTTTTTGTTGTCCTTCACAGTGTCGGCCAGTTTGAACTCTAATCGAGCTTTGGCTGCACAAATTTTCTCCCTACAGCGGTGACAGCATCTCTGTAGTTCTCCCGTGTTGCCTGTCCTTGATTTCAATGTCCACACACTCTCCTTTTCCACCTAAGTGCTAGAAGAAGATCCCTGCTCAGCCAAGCCAGCCTTCTGCCCAATTGCTTGACTTCTGACACTTTGGAATTGCCTGCTCCTGTGCTCTTAAGAGATGGCTCTTAAAAAGTGATTTACATCTAAAAGCACATAGAAAAAAAAAAGTCAGCACATAGCAAACTCCTCTGAGCAAAGCTTTATATATAAAAGAAAAAAAAAGTACTTTAGTAGAATGCTATCAGACATTCCTCAAATGGGATGTTTGCCCTTTTCATGGACTGAGTACCCAGAAGCTGAAGTTTTCCTCAGTATACAACATCTATAAAGTTATATTTGATTAACTGCAATAGGCTAACTACCATTGTTGAATCACAACTATACACTTTTGGAAATCGGGAACAACCAGTTAAAGACGGACGATTTGAATAGAGAGGTGTTTTTAATGAAGCTTAGTGTCGAATTCATTACGAATTTTCTGAATGACTGTCACTTCTGTGGGCAGGTTTGAGGTTTTTTTCTTTTCTCCTTTAAAATCGGGGGCAGATCAACTTTTGAAGTTGTTTACTGTACAAACTAAACCCTTATTACTTTATGGATTACAATGCGTTTAACTTCTCATTGACACTAGTAAACACCAATCAGTGTAATTACTTGCTAAACAATTCTTAATTCGGAAGTGCATGTAAATAAATGTATGTGCTCTTCCTCCAGCCTCAATGCTATGATGACCTCTTACGCTGTTGTCACAGGGATTTTATTACAATCAGTTCACCAAAATTGGTAGAACAGAGATATATATAAACCAATCCTCACTACACTTCCAAACATCCTGTTTCCCTAACCAACATGACAGAGTTAACCTATGAATGCCTGTGATCGTGTAACATTTTTACCAGCTCTTGAAACAACATATCTGAGAACAAAGATGAGCTCAAGAAATGACTGAATTATATCCAACATGACTGCTGAATACTAACACAGCACTTCTTCCCTGCACTGAATGGAAGGCATGATGTGGATATTCGTTTTGTCACACAACATTGCCCTTACCTCTTTGTTAGATGCTTGCCTAAGCATACAGAAGCTACTAACTTGAGGAAAAGAAATAGGGGCAATTGCTAGCTTTGAGTAGAATGACAGAAGGCACAACATTACCAGTGCCGAGGGCAATGACAAATGTACATTTACTTAGCTAAGAAGGTGCCTGGAAATGTCACCTTGCATTTAAACAGAAGCTGTAGGACGTGAAATTGGCTCATCTAATTTATGATGGAACTTTTCAACTGAGCTTGTAAGACAAGAAAACGTTGCTGCAGTTAATTTTTAGAGTGTGAGACACCACTACCTGTACAAAAGTGCATACGTATGCTGCTTTTGTAATTCAAATATTTGCTTCATAGTTCATGCAAACATACCCATATAATAATGCAAGCTGAACTTTCAGTGAACTTCTGCTCTTCACTGTAAAAAATAATACAGACTGCAGTTCTTTATTAAATTCAAGTAACTGCTTTGTTCAATTTACGCTTTGCTGCAAACCCTGAGGAGAAGGACTTGAGGGTGTTGGTTGATGAGAAGCTCAACACGAGCCAGCAATGTGCACTGGCAACCCAGAAAGCCAACCATATCCTGGGCTGCATCAGAAGAAGTGTGGCCAGCAGGTCAGGGGAGGGGAAACTGTCCCTCTACTCTGCTCTCGTGAGACCTCACCTGCAGTACTGCGTTCAGCTCTGGGGCCCCCAGCACAAGGAGGACATGAAGCTGTTGGAGCAGGCCTAGAGGACGGCCACAAAGATGATCCAAGGGCTGGAGCACCTCTGCTATGAAGACAGGCTGAGAGAGTTGGGGCTGTTCAGCCTGGAGAAGAGAAGGCTCTGAGAAGACCTTCTAGCAGCCTTCCAGTACTTCAAGGGGGCCTACAAGAAAGCTGGAGAGTCCACTTATCCGGTGTCTGATTTTGCAATGGCATGTAGTTACAGGACAAGGGGCAACAGATTCAAACTGAAAGAGGCGAGATTTAGATCAGATGTAAGGAAGAAATTCTTCACTCTGAGGGTGGAGAGACACTGGAACAGGTTGCCCAGAGAAGCTGCAGATGACCCATCCCTTGGCGGTGTTCAAGGCTGGGTTGGATGAGACTTTGAGCAACCTGACCTAGTGGAAGGTGTCCCTGTTCCTGGCAGGGGGGATGGAAGTAGATGATTTTTAAGGGCCCTTCCAACCCAAATCTTTCTAGCGTTCTACGATTCTGTGATCTGATATGAACTCACAGAAACTGTATCCCATGCAATTTCCCAAAGAGAAAGACCAGGCTACTTGAGTTGTCTGGTTCTCCTGACTGTCGTTTCATATCTCCTAAATCATGTTGCCCTGTGGTGGTCTGGTAGGTGTGTGCCCTTTGCATCCTTCTGGAATTCAGATGTCATCTCACTGATCCTGTATAGGCTGCAAGTCTTCTTTCTTCAATATTGTGATATATCAAACACTCCATATATTT